TCCACTTGGCGAACATCTGGTTTTGTCGGCTTCGTAGACAAGTGCGTAGTATTCGCAATTTGACGTCCAATACTTGGTGAATGTCCTCTGGTAGACCGCATACGTCGTGTAGTCGTCTTCGTTTGATGAAGTTCGAAGTTTTTGAAGTTCTAAATAAGTGATTTTTCCATATAAGATTCATTACATAAGCACTGATTGATTGAATTGATTTAAAAAATGCAAAATTTACTTGGACACTTGGACGGCCCGTCCTCACTGGTTGTGCGGGCACCAGTATAATCCCCATTTTTTGGAGTTTTGCTGGCTTAACCATTGTGGCTCCCTGGAGTCCCGCGGTCATCCTGCCCAAAGTCTGCCCAGGTTGTCACCACTACACGTAATCGGCGCAGTTGTGGATCAAAGAGAGATTAGCCGTCATCCGATTAGTTTGATGCCAGGATGGTGATGGATCTTGGTATCGGTTTACTCTTAGCTAGGCTTCCTCAGGAAACACTGGACTCCTTCTCAGATTGGGAGAGCTTGCTGGGGAGATGAATCATCCGCTTAGTTTCGCGGCCCGAGACTTAGAAACACCTCCCAACCATGGTGACGCGGTAAACTGTAGGGAACAAAAATGCAAAAGCCACAAGGAAAAAGATTTGCGATAATGGATTTCTGTGAACTTCTTTCTCTATTCAATTTCAACAAATTCGGACATTTGTGGATAAGGATATTTGTGCTTTGTCTCAGGTCTTAGAAACACGCCAGAAAACCTGAAATTTCGAATATGCTTCAAAAAATCCTTCAATTCAGATGTCATTCTCACTACGCATTATTCCACTAGCGTCTAGCGCAACAATTATCATTCCCAGAGAGCTATTGTTCTCAGATTCTAAGTATTCGATGTTATCACTCAGTCCTAATGGAAGGTGGGACTTATCAGTTAAATAGTCATTGTTAGTAACATCATGAAGGAGAACCATGGCATTCGATGATGAAGTTAAGATCTTCAAGTTTTACGTTTAGTAGTCATATTTACATTTCCTGGTTACGTTGTTCTATACTACAACGGGCGTGAGAAATATCTATATGAAATGCATTTCATGAAAGCACACACGACAAGTGACTTTTGAAAACAAAAGCGATGTACTCGGTAAAAATAATTCACCTTAAGGACAGAAGACACTATTTAGAGCTTTCTTTGAAAACCTATAATTACATATTTAGGATACTCATGGACTGGTGTTCCTGATTTGATCCTCTACCAGCAAGACAACAATGGTGACGAGAACACTATGCTCTTCAAGAAGAATATCTCAGAGGTTAGTTGTGAACAAAATCCAAACAAGTGAATGACAAGGATGCATATTGCATTACATTAGATTTACATACGTACAAGCTTACATGCATACATACATACACATATACATACACATGTACATATACAGGTGCATATATATATATATACATGTACATATACACATACGTATGCATATGCGTATACATATACGTATACATTGGCCTTGAGAAATCGTTTGCTGAATTTAGCTGCTTTCTCTCCTACAGCTGAAAATGAAATCTTTTTCGAAGAAAACCATGGTTCGGCATTATAGGACAGCAGTAACATCGCTTAGGCAAAACGTCCGATTTACTATGATGTGGTCTATTTCGCTATGGTAGTTTCCATTAGAAGACTCCCACGTCCAGCGTTGAGGGTGGTGCTCCTAGAATTGCGAGTTATCACGGATAGTCTTAGTCGTCATGTTAAACTCAGACAGCCGCTCACCCTGTTTGTTCCATTCTAATCCGTGGGTCTCAATGTGACGTTCTTCAGACGTTCTTCTTGGTCCAATCTTGGCGTTGAAGTCTCCAGTGATGACCTTGAGGAATGTATGGTCTTCTCTGCAAAACTTCTCCAAGTTCATATAGAACGCTTCGACTTCTTCTTCGTCATAGTTTGATGTCGGCGCATAAACGAAGAAGATGGTTAAGGCCGCCGGTGTTGACCCACATCCCTTTAATCGTAAACGTCAAATTTGGGCTGTTAGTCGTTCGAATGAATCGATGTTCATGGACAAACTCGTATTGATGAGAACGCCGACGCCGCCGACTCCTCTACTGTCGCGTTTTCCGAAGAACAGTTCTTCTCCGGTGTCATAGGCGGCGTTGAATGGTTGGCGTCTTCCAGTCTTAACCAGTCCGATACCTTCGTACATTGTCTTTCTTGCCTATGTGATGAAGCTTTCTATCGATGGGGGTGCAAGTGAGCGTGCCTTGTAGGCACAGTTCGTCACCTTAGTTCTTCAAGATTTATGCAGCTTGGAATGCCTCTGAGATTTTAGCAGCCTCTCAGTACTCTTCTACCCAACGTTATCGTATTGGAGCTCTTCCGTTGTCAGGGAAGTGAACTCCACTTATCTTACTGTGTTTGACATTTAATGCCTTAGGACCATCTGACTCATTATCCCATTACGGAGATTAGAATTGAAATAACAGACAAGTGCCAGTCAAATAACAGATCGGTGAAGTCGTTCGAGAAGCAGTTTGCTATAAATTTCCAAATGTCTTTCCATCTACCGCCCTATGTTGACTGAGCAATCGATTGATTACTACGACTGTGGGAAATGGGAAAACAGCACTGTGCGCCAAGCGGGAAACCGGAATGAAAAAGCGAATCACTTTCAGTGAGGTCGTAGCTGCCGCTGGGCTCCTAACAAATGACTTCTATAGCGGTAACATTGTCGTCTAAGTGTTACAAATATACCTTGCTTTGTACGTTTAGGTAGAAACGCTAAAGCAATCCATTTTTTTTTGAAAATTTTGCACCGCATTATGTTTTCGCGTAACGTTTTTGCATGTAGTGACAAGAGCTCTAACCGTCCTTTATAATGAAAGGTCAACCATCTTCTGCTACATTTTCGATCCCAATCCTTCCATCATTCTGCTAGTTGTTCTTCATGTGTCAATCACGAAGGTTTCGGTCTTCCGTGTGGGAGTGAGTTCAGCTTCAAGTCGGAGATTTTTTGACTTTATTAATGAATGCCGCTGAAGGACAATCGGGTGCGATCTCCTACCTTTGCAATTGGAGTCTGCCGTCATTTTTGGATCGGGAAAAAAGCTTTTTTCCGGGTGAATCTGATACCATATTTTCTATCCCGGAGAATTCTTATATTCTGCGGTGTGATGCCGAACCAGCGACCATCCGCGTATTTTATGGCACCTGTATCTACTGCGCTAACAAACTCTATATCAAAAATATGAGAGGAATATATGTAAATATCGTGCGGCGCAGTGGTTAGAGGCGCCTGCAACACATGCGTGGAATCGATCGTTTCGCCTGTCTCTCAGGTAGTTATATCGATCTTTTGCCATCAGCAATCACCCGTCAACGAGACGTTTGAACTCTGTTAATATTGAAGTCAGAGACGAGATTAAACGCCGCTTTGGCTATTATGTACAGGTCCTCACAACAATATTTGGAGCGATTTTTTAATTACATAATATATCTTTAAGGAGAAGGGCATGTGTGGCGCACAAACAGATGGAATCGATCCCCGCACCCATGGCCCACCAAGCCTTCCATCCCTCCGGGGTCGGCAAATTGGTACCAAACTTGTCTGGAAGGACAGCAGCACCGGCTCGATACATCGGTAGGCCACGGCGAGTCATTGTAAAGGCCAGATATGTATTTTATCACTTCCAACGATACTTAATGAAGTCGAATGCATGGCGGAATCACTCAGGGATTGATCAACGCCGGGAGCTTTATCCTTTATCGTTTATGGGTGTGATAAGTCGTTGTCGGAAAAGTGATATATTCAGGGTGCGGCTGCTACAATAGTCCGCTAGCCTTCTTGTCTAGGACGGACTCACTCTTTGATCAACGAAAGCTGAATGAATTGCATTCCGTTTGGCTTTGTCAAGCATTTTTCATTGTCGAAAATATTAGTATGAAAAGCAGCCTGCATTTCGATAGCCTTCTATGACTAAGGACATAGTTTTAGTATCGTCCATTGGATTTGTCTTGGATTTTCTTCTTCAAAGTTACTATGTCATTTGGGCTGCGAAAAGCGCATATAGGTTTTTGGTTCCTTATCCAAGGAATTCGGCTGTATACCATCCCATTTTAGAATTACGCCTTCCTTCATGCTTTCTATCGCAGCTACAGCCTCAGGAAGAAAAATCACAGGCTGCTTTTATCCAGCGTGGACTTAAGAATCCAGGACAAGAGTTAAAGAATGGAAGAAGCTGTGGTAGACCTTTCACGTTATCATTTTCATAGCATAGCCAATGGTTGTAATGACCCCATCGTCATCCATCAAAGGGTGCTACATTATACGAAATTATACGACATTATACGAGTCCCGATGACACTTCTTCAAACTAGTTCTTCTTGACTTGCTTCCAATAACTTTTTTCTGCCTCTACTGATGTAAGTCATCTGCAAAGGTTTTCTATAGCTGGCGTTTATTTTATCCTGTATTAAATGCGTTGCAGTAGGATCAAGCTTTAATGTGCTTCACTTTTCAAGCAAATTCCTATTGGTAATGGGGATGCTATCCGAATTTCTTGATTGAAAAACTGAGGCGAGTTCGGCATATGTTTTCATCCCTTCGATAAGCAGCGTGTGTCCTCGTACGGTTCTTCATTTATCCGCTTATTATATGAGGAGAGAATTTTATTGAAAATATCATTGTCATAATTGGCTTATTTCCTTTTTCTTGGGCGATGAGAGGAGTTCCTTTCCAGCTAAAGGCTGAAATCAATCTTATTACGGAGGTGATCAACTCCAGTGCAGAATCCAAGTGCCACCGAACTGTCAAAGAGGTACCATTTTCTAGCCGTGAGAATATGGTCGACCTGCACATGAGCTATCCTGTTAGAAGACTTTCATCTGCGGTTTTTTTTCTTTCAGAGGAAGTAGTTTCTACGAACGAGAGTGCAGGAGAGACTCCTGCAGACTAATCCTACAGAGCACTTGTGACTTTCATTTCGATCACCTATTCCAAATCTTCCTATCCAGCATTGATTTTGTTTGGCTCTTCCTTATCTGTCACTGTAGTCTCCAACAACGAATTTGCGTCAGTTTTCCATGTGGATTACTCCTTTTAAGCATTTGTAGAACGCGTGCAGTTCGCTTTCATCAGCTGTACAAGTTGCTAAGTATCAGTTGGTCACACTACTATTCTTTGAAGCAGACGTTGGACAAGAGGAATAGCCAAGCGAGGCGAAATGATCTCTTATGAGGCAACCTGATGAGAAGGAGATGGATGAATGACAGAGCCCACGATTTCGACGCTTCGTAACGGATTTTCAATTTCATTATTTAGGTTTTAATGCTGCTTTGCTACAACGATTGTTCCATTTCCATCCTTACAGTAGCACTGTTCGAGTGCAATGTAATGCAGCAGTTTACTTTATTTTTTTGTTTTATTTAGGCATCTCCAAAAACGGATATTTCCAAGCTAACAACGGAACCATCTGACTGGTATGAGTACATAATGGTGAATGCTGAGGACAGTGCAATAACTAGGCCAGTGAAATAAAACTTCACAACAAGTGAGGGAAACGCTTGTAAATTTATGAAATTTAATTTTTAGCCCAGTAGGCTTCGATAAATCCAACCTAAACATGTATTGGCTGTGGAGTGACCAATTTAATGATCCTGGTATGTTTATGTCTTCACGCTCGCTATTTAACTTCCGTAGATCCATTTTCAGTTTTTCTCTTATACTTTAAAGGTAAACATCTGATTTTCAGTTAATAAGTCAGGAAAATAGCCACTTTTGCTCACGTTCAATCTCCACCTCAACGCCTGGAGGTGTATCACATAGCCTCGCAATTTATCCTCTAACGAGGACGATTCGCAGAAGTTTTTATTAGGCTAAATAACTGTCTAAAAACTAGTTTTTGTCATTCAAATTCTCCTAATTAAACTACATTATTTAGAAAATTCTGACGGTAAGTGGAAATCTCTTGCAGGATCGTTTGCCAAGTTTCCATTTGATGCTCCTGAAAAGAAAGAGTTGCTGTATACGGCGACTCGCGCTGAGATTTCCGGCAATCTATTCCATCCGACTGACATAACACTGTTGACCATCACTGAGGTACAAAGATAGCATTGTAGGATACAAGAAATATAAACACAATTGAATACAGTGGCAAGAAAATTAGACAGAAGATGGTTCATCTTTCGAGCAATAAAATAGAAAGGATAAAGCTCTCAGCGTTGATCAATCCCTGAGGGAAGCGCAATGCATTCGACTTCATTAAGCATCGTTTTGAGATGATTAAATGCATATCGGGTCTTTACAATGACTCGCGGCGGCATATAGAGCCAGTGCTGCTATCCTCCCATACAACTATGGTACCAATTTGCCTACCCCGAAAGGATGGAACGCTTGGTGGACCATGGGCGCGGAGATCGATTCCACGTGTGTGTTGCAGCGCGCTTCCGACCACTACACCACACGCGCTCTTTTCGAGTGATACCATATTAAAACCCTTTTTGTAAAATATATGTTAGGAAAAAAAATTTATGAAGTTAAAATTGTAGTTGTCTTGTTCAGATTTATCATAAACCAAAACTTTTTGTCGCTAACAATACGGTGAAGGAAGATATTCAGCATATAGTAAATCTTCGGCCAAATGGACCACTTATGATTTTACCTCTAAGCTAAGGTAACTATTGATTTTTGCCATTTTGCTTTGACCTCTCTTATAGTTCCTACATGTTTATAACCTTTGTGCTTCATACCGCTATTAGAGAGGAAAGTACATGACGAAATGTACTCCAGAGTCGAGAAATGAACGAATCAGTACCTCATAGTTGTTAAGAACACGCAAGCGATTTTTCGGATTATTGCCGAAATGATAACCATGTGACAATCGAAGTTGTTGAGAAAGAGATGAAAAACTGAAACAGCGACAACCATTATGTCACTGTGAACTACTTGCGCTAAGTTGTGGAATTCCACTGGAAGTCTCGGAACTGTTCTGAGTTCTTATTGTTGAATCAGATAATTCTACATCGATGAAACGTACCAGATCGGTGGAGAAAGCTCGATAGGCCATTTTTTTTAAATCACTTCGGTTTATTCGTATTAGCTCTATCGTCGGATCTTCCAGAGAGTCTCAGGATTCAACATTATACATCCACTGCTCAACTGACGCTCATTTGAAAGTGACACATATATTCTTATATTCTCTTATACACATATATTATCCTTTCTGCTTATCATGCACTGAAAACACTATCCCACTTATGCTAAGGCTCCAGTCAGGTTCGACTGAACTGGCATTCAGTGATGTCGACAAAGAAGCCGGCAATTCACAAGCAGCAGTCGAACCCATACGTGAAAAGTTCGAAAACCATCGCCGATGTAAAGTGTAAGAAAAGGAATCGAAAGAAAGAGGAGCTGGGGTCAGCACTGTAGACTGAAGACGAGTCGTATAAGGTTGTGTAAAAAAAAAGACTTATTACGCCCTGTTAAGCTTCATATTTTGATTTATTTCTTTAACCACCAGTATGTTTCGAAATAAAATCCCAACTAGTCGCTCAGCAGAGTAGCTTACCTTAAGTGCTCTCTTCGGTCACTAAGCTAACACGTTTCGGCACCATCGTTTTCTTCAGACCCCAATTGATCCGAACCAATGATCCACGGGTGGTCTTCCTCGCGATGTGGATGTTATTTGTCGCATCTAGTCAAAACCATCGAAGACGAACACCGCTTGAATGAAAAATCTCACTCGACGGTATCTTCTCATACAAGACGAATGTTGATCTACTGTTGCCACTCAATACTACCTGCATTTTTGGTGGCGATGCATCCCACAGCAGTCGATTTTATGGAATATCTTGAGTTCCTCTCGACACTTTGTTACTCACTGCTCACAGCTCCTAGCGAAGCGAGTATAAGTTCTTGTTATTCGTTATTCACCTGTGATGGAAAAACGTTTACGTGACAAGGCGCAAAGAGCTAAGTTTGTTGGCTTGATGAGATAACGATGTCTGGTGATTTACTGACACAACACAGAGCGAACATCACGTGAACTTATCATTCATTTTCAGATATGTCAATATGGTTGGTAACATATTCGTCCTCTGACAAACCGTACGAAATCTTCATTTATAGAAGATGGCTTAAAGAGGTATGAATTGTTCCAAGAAAAATAAACTATTACATAGGGGAAGAAGCTTTGAGCATTGATCAGTCAACTGGTGGTACACCACGCAGTAGATTTCACCAAGCATTACGGGGATATTTTAATGTATGTTTGGCGTTTGGGTGAATACAGGTCAAGTCACTGTTTTTTATCCTGTCAGATAGATGGTGCTAGTTTTTTAGATGGTTATAGTCGAATGAAGAAGAACCGTGGATTATCGACTCGGATCATCGGCTCTGATAAAGATGAAAACGTGGAAACGTTAGCCGAAATAAATTTATCTACCAACCTCGTGTAAGCTTATCAAAGAAAGAATACATGTTGACTACACATATCAAGGTTCAAGGAAAGTCGGTTTTGAAATATTGTTATTACTCACATGAGTATTACAAGGTCTACCCGATCATTATGCTAATGAATGTGCATCTAAAAGTAAGCTAAGGCTAACTTACTTTTTTGTTTTCAAGGCCGAATTTCTCTTCAACAGTCGACCAGAACTTGAAGCCTATAAGCTGAATAATCAAATCAGTTTCGATTTCAAAACTAGAGATAACATGGTCCTTCAGGCATACCTCAGTCTTCCACCTGAGGTATGATTTCTAAAATAATGGTGTTTTTTGGAAGCAAATGCATTTTAGTGATAATTAACGTCAAAGGAAATAAATATCTAGATTCCTCTTCGACGTCCTTAAGATGTGCCAATGGCCGATCGCAGTTACGCCCAACTTGGGATGCTACCAGTGGAACCTCAAAAGCTGGCTGTATACGTGCATGGTGGACCAAAATCTAGAGATTACTACCAATTTTCGCTCACGAATGTTTAGTTTACGAATCGTGGTTATGCAGTACTACAGGTAAGCTGTAGAACTTAGCATACTGTATTAATTACTTTTTCCTGATATGGTTGAGAAAATATTTTGAAGACACAAAAATTTTTAGAAGGCTTGCAGAATCATCTCCAGATTTAGAAAGTGCTTTCTGCTTGTGATAGAAATTGAACAAATGAATAGAATAAATATTCGGTGCTAGCCATAGTCGACTAGGGCCGGAAAAGTGTGAGATTTGTTCGAAGGAATGCTGACGTTGTGTCTCCTGTGGAATAGCCCCGGTCTATGATGGGAGTGTCTGTGATGGGTCGTTAACCAACTGAGAGTTCTGTGATATTATGTACACACTGCTCTCAGAGGATCACTGTGTTCTAAATGGAACTCATATTTTTCCCATTTTTATTTCTTGAATGACTCGTCATCACATCTGCTGTACGGAATACAGCACTTCTTGCATTCCATTCGTTTCCATAGCATTCATCATCCACAACCGTCTTCGATAATGTTATACCTTTTTATTTTCTGCCTATTATAATTTCGCGGCAGGGTACTAAGCGAAATACAACCACAACGTTGCTGAGATATTTACAAAACTCTGGACCGCAGGTGTCTATGGTGGGGAACGAACGCGCTATTGTCCTTTCCGGGGAGTAACGCGTTCACCACCACACCATGCGGGTCCTTCGTTTCGCCTGTCTCTCAGCTATTTCTATCGATCTTCCCGCTGACGGGCGATTGCTGTGGCAAAGTTCGATAGAAATAACTGAGAGACAGGCGAAACAAAGGACCCGCATGGTGTGGTGGTGAACGCGTTACTCCCCGGAAAGGATAATAGCGCGTTCGTTCCCCACCATAGACACCTGTGGTCCAGAGTTTTGCAAATATCTCATCAACGTTGTGGTTGTCTTCGATAACTTTGCATGCTGTTTCAACAGCTGCTTGAAGATCTCATCTTCCTCATGAATATCACAGAATGCTAGTGATGTCAGTTCTTCGAGCAATCTTGGAAGAAGCCGTGCTAAAGCATTTTCATGTCGATTCGAGGAGAGCGTTGGGACTGAGATAGAACTGGCGCCTTTCACTTTCTGGTCGACGGCATCGCTGACTACTGCGCTATCTCTTCCCTCAAAGGTGCTCATAAGGTTGAGCTTTAACGTCAACATTATAGATATGAGCAGTTCTCAGTTCAACCCACAACATTCCGTAAAACTTATTCCGTAAAACAGTACTGAATTTTGAACTTATTGCTCGAAGGAAGTGCGACACGAAAATAGTGTGATTAGTGCTTGCATCGTTCAATAGTGCCACGAAAACCTTTGTGTGTTTCCTTCACGATGCATAGCACAAGCTTTGTTTATGAAGCTTTCAAGCGCATGTAAAACATAAACAATAACACAATAATGGCTCGCAAAGATAATCAATATAACGACGAGGAATTTACGTTGACATGAAAACAGCAATTTCTGTAACAGATTTATGGAGTAGTGCGAGTGACAAGTGATATATAGAATACAAGTCAACTTCAAAAAAAAGGAGCGAACTGACAGCTCAAGAGTAAAAGAGAAGAAATTGCTATTAGTCACTTCTAGATGCCAAATTAAAGGAGATGCTACTGTAGAGAACGTATTTCTTCTCCATTCAGTGTTTTTTAAGAATGAAGATGCTAGCAGGGAATAGAATTACAGTGAATCGCAGATTTAAATAGTGAGCAGGCCATAGCACACAAGGATATTACAGAGTACTTTCCAGGCAGCTGCGAGGAAAGTAAATGAGCTGGATTTTATTCACTGCAATGTGGAGAACATTGTCAGTTCCGAAATACAAGATGAATAGACCACAAATATTTGTCTGACGTTTTTTTTTAATAATAAAACTTAATAAGTTTTAACTTTTTAACTTTTAATAACTTTTTTTAATAATAAACTGTTGATAGGTGAATTTCCGCGGGACTAGCGGTTTCGGCAAGCGGCTGACAAATGCCGGCGACGATAAGTGGAGCAAAAAAATGCACCTCGACATTCTTGACTCAGTCGATTTTGCTGTTGCCAAGGGTATCACCAACAAATCACTTGTGGCAATCATTGGTAAGTGGTAAAAAGAACGACTTCGTTAGAACGTGTGTTTTAAGCTTGATTTGCTCATTTTTTCATGGTAGGGTATTGCGCGAAATAACACCACAATGATGCTGAGTGTCAACCATTTTGGACCTCAGCTGCTCCTCGAACCGGCGATAACCTTTCCGGAGGCTCCCATATTACCTATTGTTCCAACAAAGGTTCTTGGATTGCCTTTCCCTCAGCCAGTTTTTACCCTAATGGTGCTGCCAACCATCACCCGTCAGCGAGATTCTTTTCTTGTTATACTGTAGAACTAAGAACTAAGTATTCTCACAGTAAAGATTTTAAAAAACATTTCTGAAATGTATACTAAGATGCGTAAAGGCATAAAAGTGTTCCGAATTTCTCATTAATTTCTTTAAGGCGGGAGCTATGGTGGTTATGAAGCCTTAGTCGCTCTAACTTTTACTCCTGACGCTTTCTGTTGTGGTGAGGATATTGTCGGACCTTCGAATTTGATGACTTTAATCCAAACTGTTCCGCCGCATTGTAAAGGTATCCATGCGGAACTCGTACGAATGCTGGGAGGTGATAGTGACACATACCTTCACATTTTTACAGTAAAGAATAATACGTCTAGGTGTACCGAAAACAAAAGCATTATGACAAAAAACGCTTTTCGAACGTTGGAATAAAAAGTATTAAGTCAAGAAAAGCTAAGAGAAATTGGAGACCTACTCACCATTCACTGACTCGGAGAAAAATGGAACAAGTGGAAAACCGAAAACAATGGGACGGCTTCCTGAACACATTAACAGCTTTATCATTATTGCTAATACCACCATTATTATAACTCAGCTAAATATGGGCACATGCGTAGTGCTAGACGCCCCCTGCAATACACATTGGGGCGATCGTTGTTTTGATCCCACGATCAAGTTCGCCAAGCCTTCCATCCCTACGAGGTCTGCAAATTGGCACAAGGCTTTACAGAAAGGGTAAAAACACTGAGAGAAACATCGCTTGGCCACCGCTAGTCACTGCAAATCGGATATGCTTTCACTCACCTCTAAAAATCCTTGATGATGTCAATTACATGGTACACCCTTATGAGTTTGTCAACGATAAGGGATTTATCCTTCTATTTAAATGTGGAAGTGCATGTAGCATGGTGGTTAGAGGCGCCCTGTAATACATACGTGACTCGAGTTCGAAGCCGCGTGTCTGGCTGATCAAGTGCCATACGATTTTTAATGCAGTCCAATGCATTATTCATCCTATAGGAGCTGCTAAACACTGAACGCCTTGTTCTTTATCCTTCAAACAAACGTTGATTTTTACTTTTTCACTTATGTATTGCAAGAACATGAGGCCATAGTTATGAACATTTCGGTTTGCAGAGAAGAAGGACGTCAAACGCTCGCTGCTCTCTCACTGCTTTTTTTGCCAATAGAGTAGAAAAACCGCTTGTGATCCTTCAAGGCACTAACGATCCTCGTGTGAAACAACGAGAGTCGGGTATGTTCATCAAAGAATATGACGTTTACTGATATCACTTAGTTAATTTGACATAATAATCGTTTTCTTTCCTTCACAGATCAATTTGTTGAAGCTCTGAAAAAGAATAACATCTCTGTTAGCCATATTCTCTACCCAGATGAAGGCCATGGGTTTAGAAAAGTGATCTTCTACTTTATTCCATCGTCGACATTGGCAATGAGTTTTCCATTAGAAAAGTATTGCACTATCGGAAACCATAAGCATTTAGTAGAAACATCTATCAGAAGAAACCATCAGTTATCTCTCATCTCAAAATTGACTTACCAACATGTCCCGTCCTGTACTTACTTATCAAAACCCATAAGTTAGTATCCAGCGATGATTTCGTGTCTACCGGTCCATCGTTATTAAGCGTTAGACCTATCATTAGCTGCGTGGACGGGCCAACGGATAGAATGACGTGGTTAATAACCCTAATACTTACTCAGTTGTTGAAGTAGATTCCAGCTCATCTAGCGAACGCCCAAATGTTCCTGGATCGTCTACGTAACGCGCGACCCAACAGCACGTACGTGATGGAGTCCTTCGACGTCACCGCCCTCTATACAAATGTGTCAAATGAATCCGCTATGCAAGCCATCCGCAAGCTACTTGTAGAACACGAAAGAGCAATAAACATCTGCGGCTTCTCGATTTAGCAGTTGATGGCACCCTTAAAGGAGTGCCTAAACTGCTCAATCTTCAGATGGTCCGGAAGGTATTACGCACAAATGAGAGGACTGGTAACAAGCCCTACCATTGCATTCATGTCTAAGGCGGAAGCGCCAGTAATCGACCTTGGTCCATTACTCTACTGTAGATATGTTATGTGCTCACCGCAAGAAGAAATTGACAAATGTTTCGAGTTGTTGAACGAACAGTCAGAGTATATTAGATTCACCCGATAGAAACCAAAATAAAACTGGCTTCCATTTCTGAACATGCAAATTAGCCTCTCGGAAAACGGCTACATTACAAAATGGTATCGAAAGACGAGTAGTAAAAACGACTTGGTTAATTACCTCTCCTCTCATCCCTCTCACACGGAAAGGGCGCTTGTGAGAAACATGTTTCGAACAGCAACCAACGTGTGCACGGGAAGAGAGCAGAGAGAGAAGTCCAGGAGCTTGGCGCGGCAAATAGCCATTTTTAATAGCTACGAAACTGTAGCTCGAGATGGGTGTAGAGGAAACCACAGGTACCCCAACGATAACTCTAGCGACGACAAGCTCCCGTTTATACTGCCCTTCATTTAAAATGAAGTAAGTGCAGCTATAAAACGCTGTTTAAGAAGGGCTAGTTTGGAGAATTCGGTAACGATAATCGAAATGCCACCGAGTAATCCAAGACGCCAGCTAGTTCTTAACCGCCTATACCACCGTCTATGTGCAACGCAAAATTGCATAATTTGCCTCAATGGTACAGACGGTGACTGCATGAGTTCGGGTACAATCTATCTGATCTCTTGTAAAGCGTGCGGGGACGAATACGCTGGCGAAACGGGTAGACCACTCTGCGTACGTATAAAAGAACACCTAGTCGGCAAACATAAGCTAAGTACTCCACTAGGTACGCATAGCACGCAGAAACGTAACGGAGAAGATTTTGAAGTAAGAGTTACGATCCTCGCGCAAGAATCGAGAACACAAGCGCGCATTACTCTAGAGGCATTCTGGATTAATTCCAAGAATCCGAAAATGAACCGCAGGGAGGATTGCCTCATTATCACGCTTGATATTGGACAGTATATAAGCCTGCTATTTTGGTGAGATGGGCACAATACGATTCCGTGTGAACTCTGTGCCGTTGGTCTTCACGTGACACATTTAGTGGAAGACTGATAGAAAGCGGTGAGTGTGCAAAGACTCCGTGTTCAATGTGATTGAAATTTTGGTTCAGCATTTTCTCTGTTTGGTTATGGAGGTGTTTGGCGGTGTAGATTGCAGTCAATTTAGCCTTTTCAGGCTCGGATGAGGGCGAAATCCGTCGAAACGTCAGCTTGTACGTAAATAAAGAAATAAAATAACACCTTGTGTTTGCCTAACAAAACTTGAAAGAATTATTCAATCAATGCTGAGGTTAATAGAAAGTCGGACGTGAGAGATAACTATATTGAAGGTACATAACCTACTGTCATTGTATGGTTTCGTCGAGAAATTTCTACATTCATGCCTTAGAGGACAGTATGAGCTGTATCAACAAGGACAATACAACTCTACAGCAATCGTTAGCATATATTTTCATGAATTTTTCCACCGAGTATATTTAGTTACCTGGATACTTTGGCGATTTATCTTAATTGGTAATGAGCCCTCTAACACAATTTCCATTCGGCTTTCTCGCGTTAGCGTGGTCCATGGCGGCGGCTTCGAACAAAATGGCGTCCGTGAAACTTATTCCGTAATCCTAACATCGCTCCCATCTGCAAATGCAGGTGGTCGACGTTACGAGCAGGTCAGCCCATCGCTCCTGTGGTCGTCTAGGAGGACGTTTGTTTCTACTGAAGTCCACTCCACTATTCTCTTCGTCCTTCTGCCATCTATTCTTCTTATTATGTTACCGGTCCATCTGTGCTTCGCTATCGATGTGTATTCTCCTGGATCCCGAAGATTGGATAGGCTTTAGAGATCTGAGCTGCGCATTCAGGCTAGACGCTGTGACTGTCGGATATATTTCCGATGATATCGTTAAAGGTCTTTGTGGGTGGTGCGCGGAGATCTTGAATTGGTTTAAGTACACTAAGGTGAGCGCGGAGTCTTGGGTCCGCTAGTTGGTCCGTAGTTTATTCGAAAGGTCCAAATGTAGCCCATGATACTTTTCACTTTTCTCTATAATTTTTTTTTAATTCGTGGCAATTTTCGGTCGTCCTGTACCACCATTTTTGTGTTTCAGTTGAAATCGGATGGTTTCGCAACCAGCAGCACACGAGGAAGATGGTGTCCATTCACTACAGCCACCGCGGCACCATGGTTCTTCTTCAACTGGGGAAAATAATCCCACCGTCGCGATCCATGCCAAATCGGCCGCCAACACACACAAATATGTCAACGACATTGATCCCACTTCAAGCAGCCTTTAGCAATATTAGCAAGTTTAACAAGAGTACCAACAGCGCTTTGTCTACATAAACTAGTCGATTTCGTCTTCTATTTTATTTTGTTATTCCGTATGCCTTTGTTGTTCTTGCAATTTGTTTCTAGTTCTTCATCAGTTTCTAAAGGTCTCGGTTTGTAAATATTTGGCATGTTGCCTTATGAAAATTCTATCAAAATTTTTAAACTGCTTTTAATAAGACTTTTTTAATACTTTTAAAACCGACCGTCATTTTTGCCGCACTTCACAAAGCAGAAGTTAAGGGATTGAATATGAAGAAGTACTGTAATCATAAGCGTTTGATAGCTATTGATCATGATCAGCGTGATCAATCATCAGCTTTTTCACGACGGCAAGCCTCCTTATTGAAAAGGTTTTTCTGAATATTAGTGTATTCCGGAGGTACACAGCAAGTACGAGGATGTATCTTTTGAAGTGTAAAACGCCCCAAAGCCCCATGACGAGAAGAGTCGGATTCTTTCAATAGAATCGGTTTTTGAAGTTAGTCTTTATCGATTGATGAATTCCAACGCTTACTGTAACGAAACCCAAAACTCAATACTTTACTTATTCAATATGGATGCGAGGTATTTCTTAGTATCAGAGAACTGCTTGTTGTTCACTTCTCGGTGGAGTCACCCCTGTTAGGAAGAAATTTGCCAGTTTCATCCGAAAACAGTGTCAGTAGCAAACTAGTCACGTTAGAACGCCCTCGTACTAACCCTCCAAAAATAAAAAGAAGATAAAGCCTCGGAATTCAACATATTCCACGCGTCAGTGTCGACGACTTCGGATAGATAACTGATGAGATGTGATTAAGCGATCGAATTACAAAGGCCATCAGTTGTAAACTTACTAGTCGCTTTCAATCGAATGGTGAAATACGAAAAACGCCATTAATGAAGACTTGAAAGAACCTTAACGCAGAGAGTCAACTTTCCAAAAAAGAACTGCATGCTATAACGTCCACGATTTTTGAGAAACATTCGTCTAAAGGCAAAAGAAATCCCCACGACCGACTTTCTATTAACCTCGGCATTGATCAAGTAATTCTTCGTGTTCTTGTTGAGCAAACGCGAGGTGTTACTTTTATTCTCTAATCACGGATACGCTGACGTTTCGGCGGATTTCGCCTTCCTCAGAGCCTTCAGAAGAGGTCCTCCAAACACTGAGCACAAAAGTTTTCCTTCGTCTCGCACTTATTCCGCTTGGCAAACATCTGGTTTTGTTGGCTTCGTAGACAGGTGCGTAGTATTCGTAGATCGATGTCCAGTACTCGGTGACTGTCCTCTGGTTGTCCACATATGTCCTGTAGTCGTCTTCGTTTGATGAAGTTCGGAACGACTTGAATTTTAGACAGCGGCGGAGAAAGTGTATTGACTGTCGAGTTGAAACGATCTTTTGTTTAAGTGACAGCGCTTCTTCTACAAATCGGAAGTATCTTGCTGGTAATGAAATTGATCCGTCTTTTTTTGAAAGACTCGCAGAAAACACTAGCGAAGACATTTGTTCAAGAAATGTCTTCAAAATCGCTTCATAGTAGATATGTTCGGATTTAACAAAGGAAGTAGATGAAGGTTCAATTAGAAACATCTATAGCTCTACCACCGAAAAGTGGGAAGCGAACTATAGACATTCGCAGTGAAACTAATTTTGCTTTTTTCAACATTTCAATGTTGTCTTCAACCTATTTGGTTTTCGAAAGTCCCTGTATGTGGGAAAAATGGCCACTGTACAGCGTTTTGGAGACTATTACGTAGTACTAATACGATTAAACTTAACGGCCTAGTTCCCACTGTATTGCTGTCTATTGGCATTAACAGCCACCGTGGCGTATAATAATCGTCCTTCTGCCACCAGGCTCGTTTTTCACTACATTCGACGTTTATGAGATTATTTTTTTATTTTTTTTTCGTTT